AGTTTGAATAGTACATGGATATAAATATTGAAGATCTTTTTCATCAATGGAATTTCTTAACATTATTTTGTATTTTGGGCACTAGAAGATCTTTTTCATCAATGGAATTTCTTAACATTATTTTGTATTTTGGGCACTAATCTCCCCCTAATGTCGAGAATTGATCTTTCTTAACATTATTTTGTATTTTGGGCACTAATCTCCCCCTAATGTCGAGAATTGATCTTCAATAAAAATGCAATCAGCGTACCAAATTGTAAATTGATCCCCTAACATGGGCCATAGGTATTAAATTATTGACGGAGTTTCATAAATAATGTATGTACCTTCACCGAGGTCCCATAAAGGTATGCTATGGTGGTGATATAGAAACATTGACTGTAAATAAAGAATACGCAGATGGGAAATGTTTCACTTCTTCACCACATATTAGATAAAGGGGAAAATTGTGATATGCAGTTGGTCGGATTTGGTTTGAATGCCCCATTTAATTTAAGGAAATTAGACAAATCATATTTTACTCAAGATGACCCAATAGCTCATGCTAGAATTTAAAAGAATTTGGGTCCCTAAATCTTAAAAAATCATCGTAACATGGTGTATTTTAGATCATACAAATTCTAAAGTGTATAAATAAAAACCACATAAGTTCACAAGAGTTTAAAGCAAACTCAAGTTAAATCAAAATTGTCTGACAAATGCATATAACCCAAATATAGAAAAACCAAATAGTTTACCTTGACCACCTCGATAAGATCCACTTCAATGTCCACTACCTTCCCTCGTCCAAGTTTATGAAAATTAGTTTGAATTATGACAAGTGCTTCAGGAACTATGACTGAACCAATTAAACTTGCATTATGGTTTCTCACAACAACTGGTTGTGTTTTTAACAACTACTAATGCAAGGATTAGTTCATAATGCTTTTAGTTATACTATTGTAAGAGTACAATATTACTTGTTGAATTGTATTCAATCGAGGGTTTAAAATCCAAAAATGGCTACAAGATAAGATCTCCTACTATGTTCATAGCCTCCCCCTTTTCCACGCGTATAAGTAATTTTCTGAATTATAGCATGTGCTCCAAACACAACTCATAAGCCAACCAGTCTAACATTGTGATTTCTCATCAACAATTTGTTGTGATTCTCTACAACTCTAAATGTAGATATCAAAGCAGAATGCTTGGCATAATTTTTGATCATATACTGCTACTGGAGTACAATACTACTTGCATGGAATGGTGAAAATTTTTTTGATCAATTCTACGAGCTTCACCCGCTAGATAATATGGCACATGGTTGAATCATATTTAGTCATGTATTTGAAATCCAAAAAATTCTGATTCAGTCTGCCAGTTGCGTTTGAGGGAAGATTATTAGCTTCCATAAATCAAAGCGATTCTTCAAGGATTGCCCAGAAAGTAAATACTTTTTCAGTAAGCCATTAATTTTTCACGTCTTAATTGATAGAGAGAAAATTTAAAGTGTTTGCCTTCTGGGCAAAGATACTTAAAGAATTAAGAGATATAATCGTGCAAAAATCACAAGGGTGTCCAATAAAAATGAATGTTCGAGGCCAAAGACAAGTAATAATTACTATCATATATCACAGTGCACTAATCATGGGGACGAAAGATTAGTGCATGAGAAATTAGAAATATTCACATTTTAATAAGATCTAATCATGGGGACGAAAGATTAGTGCATGAGAAATTAGAAATATTCACATTTTAATAAGATCACACATAAACACCAAAATCATTAAGCTCCTTTTTCTAATGATTTTCATAAAGGTTATATTTTCAAATGTTTTCTTCTGGTAAACTAGTCTGATATTAAAATTCACACAAAATTTTTAATGCTCAGACGATCAATAACCATCACAAACTCAAGAAAGTAGAAATTAAATAAAGGCATAACCGGTTTGTACTATCCTTTCTTCTAAACTCAAGGTTACCAGATTCAAAACACCACCAAGATAATTTTGGATAGAAATTAATATTGCATAATTTTAGTGGAGAAGAAGAATCAGTGCAGTTAGTAATAAAAAAATAGACCACTTATGAACACCAACATGAGTTTTAAAAACCCACAACTTAATTTCAAATTTTTCATGAGGCTTAGATTTTACTTCAAGCAAGCAAATAGAATATTTAAAGCAAAAGCATCAAATTGATATATTATGACAATTTTTTCATGATTGATGCTATGGACCCTCAACTCTTTTCACATAGATTCATCAAATGCCTCTCACTTAATTGGGAAAGAAATAAGCAATAATTGCATATATCATGATCCTAGGGACTAAGATAGAATTTTCTTACAGGTTAAGCACAACAAAAATCACTTAAAGCTTTCAAAAAGCCAAATAAATATGTGCTTTACTCGTATAATAACCCAACCACCTTAATGGAGGAATAAAGAAAAATATGATAGTGTATTTCATACCTCAGTTTTTTTTCTTGAATCATCCCTCCACAAATTTCACCAAAAATTTAGGATAAAGATTTTGTTTTTGTTGTTTGTATTTCTCTCTCTAGCAACCTAACCAAGTTTATGTCCTTCTCGGAAAGATAAGTGGATAATGACAGGGATCTAATCTAAAGGGATAAACTTTATCTTATTGACAATCAATTTAGGTCCATACAACTAAAGAGCAAGCCTCCAAATACCAAACAGGCTACATAAAAGGACAAGTAACTAGCACAACGTATAAACAAGTAGCTATTTGATCTCAATGGAAATTGTAAACAAAATAATCATATGATATACATCAATCAAAAAGAAGGATAACTGTGAAATATGTCATTTATATCTTGTGTAACTTATTTGATCTCATAATAGTTAGATAAATACAAAGAGAGAGAGAAACATATATTCTGCTTTTATTCAGTTACTGTGTTATGTAATATCTTTCTCTCCAAGTAAATAATGATGTATTTGAGAATCTGATCATGCATTTATTTATTGTTTTGTGTAATCGGAAATAACCCTTTGTCTTAGTTTCTTTGTATTTTCTGTTAAGACTTCCAGACTATGTTATGACTGATCATCATGTGCATAAGAACTTAAAGATCACGGGTCTACATGCTAAAGTTGTGTTTAGCAGCTGCATGCAAAATTGTTTGTTTTGAAGAATTCAAATAAATGAGATGACAAGATTCATACTGGACATAATCATAATCATTCGACGGAAAAGCTTGATACTATGTAAATAGACAAAGGCCGAATGTATTATTACCTTGCAGAAGATGTACACCTAAAAATCTATTACTACGAACCGATGATCACGAACCAGCTAGAGCTAGTCGTGCTGATAACGTATTGTAATATACTAAAGAAATAAAACAAGAGACAAGAGACAAGAGACAAGAGAAGAAGAATATTTCTTTATCAATTCCATTTCCATACATCGTATAATTTATAGATACATGATGGAAGATAAAAGGACGTCATGTTAATAGTCCACATACAAAGTAATATCCACATACATTTTGTCTTTGAAATTTTAACAAAATGTCTTTAGATTTCAACAAAATGTCTTTTAGATTTCAACACCATGCATATAAAAATTCTAATTTAATACTAAAATAATATATAACACTTGGCATTATCTTGTATGCCTATGTGCCATTATTTTGTGCCTTTAGGAGTTCCACCAATTTCTCATTATATATAAAGGAGAGATTATAGATAATTATAATTTGATTAGGATTACCAAATATTTAATTATAATTAAAATTTTCTAATTATAGATAGATTTAATTTGATGATGATTCTAATTATGGATTGAAACACCCATCATATATAAATTCTAATTTAATATTAAAATAACATATAAATTCTCATTATATCGTTGTTGTATGATGACTTAGGAGTACCACCAATTTCTCATGGTATATAAAAGAGGGATGTACATATTTTTTAACAATTCTGATACTTAATTTTCAGACCTAAATTACCTTATAGCTTGGTTGACCTCAGCGAACCCAACCATCAATCTAGAAATGTTGGAATTAGATTTAGGGAAATTACAGTTAGGGGCTGTTTGGATTGATTTTTTAGATAGGTAAAAGAGGGGAGAGCTGTCAAAAATGTCAGCTTTTTGGCAGCTTTCCCCCAAAATCACCTCTATAAAAGGTGATTTTGGAAATGTCAGCTTTTTGGCAGCTTTCCCCCAAAATCACCTCTATAAAAGGTGATTTTGGGGGAAAGCTGCCAAAAAACTGATATTTTTGGCAGTTTTCCAACCTTTTACCTATCTAAAAAATCAATCCAAACAGCCCCTTAACCTTCAAGAATTTTCATCGTTTCTTGATAAACGCCCCAAACTTTCAAAATCACAGTAAACCCCCTACAATTTTGGAATTGCAGAAAATCTCAATAAGTTTCTGCATTTTTTGCAGATAACCCCCACAAATTTGAACCCAAAAAAACACCATAAAAGGGCAATTGGGAAGTTATAGGTCATCTAGTGTAATTTATTTAAAATATATTGGGGTTCTTTTTTGTGCAAAAGTTAGAGCTTTGCTACAGGGACCAAAAAAATAGGACCAATAGGGGGGACAAGTGAGGTGTCCCCCTCCTATTGTATAATGAGTTGGTCATTATTAATGATGGCCAACTTATTATCCAATAGGAGGGGGACACCTCACTTTTGTCCCCCCTATTGGTCCTATTTTTTGGGTCCTTGATAAATTTTTCTTAGTGTAATTTACCCTTACATTTATAAGATAAATTTTAGTATATTTAAAACAGAATTAGATTTAGATTTCTGGTAAAAATTCAAGTTTGTCTTGCATTAGCGAATCTATCTCCGGGGTAAGGATTTGTGAATATGGTTCACCTAATGTAAAATTTTATATTAAGTGGTGAAAATTGAAGGTTATAATACTTCTAATTTTCCAACTGTGGGAACTTAACATCTTTATGTATTCTACAGTTTATAAATCAGTACAAACATACGAAACATTCATTTTCTAAGTACAATGCGCTACTACCAACCCATCAAACTATGGATATAATCACCATCACTACACTCGTGAACTGTATATAATTCTAGTTTCTACTTGCATGAATCCTGAGCAAGCAACCTCTCATTTATCTTCCTGTTGTCACTCTGCAAACAATCAACCGGAGGAATCGTTGGAGCGTGCAATTCCCCGTATGCATCCCAGCAGTAGGGATCGTAAATATGCAGGTTTTCTTGCAATGGCTTGAGCTCTATATCCGTCAAGGATATGTTATAACATGGAAAATTGTCACTACACGCAAGGTACACTGGCTGAACCGTGTACGTCCCCTTGATCTTCTCATATGAAATCTGTGATAGAGCCAGCGCTGACGATTCGTTCTTGCAGTGGTTTGGTCCATCGCAGTAGAACTGATCGATATCTATAGGCGTCTTGACTTCTGATACCTGGATGTTGGAGAATTTGATGTTGCGTACTGAGCCTGAGCCGCCCTGCATAACGGAAAAACAATAGGATGGTCAGACACGTATTAGCAGTGACAAACATAGTATGTTCACTCAGTATGCATTTCTGAACTGAAATATTTCATGATGGACATGTCATAGTGTTACTATATACTTTATCATGGATTTGAGAGCAGTTGACCTTAATTGAGTCACGAGCCAAGCATATGTAACGATATGGCCATCTAATTATTCTTCCGATGTTGGACTAAATCGAATCTCATAAATTTACTAGGTCAAAGATTTGATCTGAATGGATGAGAGACATTAATGAGATTCTTGATAAATAGGGTTAAGATTGGACATTGAATGGACCTATCCATAATCTGACCTGTATATAAATATATATATATACCTGCCAAGTCTTGATTCTGACACCGGCCAATGTGTTATTCATCCTAACATTGCGGACAGTGATATCAGATACACAAGCTTGTGTCTTGCCCTTTCCCAGTGAACCAATACTAATCCCATGCCCTGGCCCGCAGTCCACGTTGTGCACGTGCACGTTGGAGCATCCAGTTTGAATAGAGACACAATCATCCCCTATTCAAGAATATTAACAGGTTTTTTAGCTATTTATTCACAATTTTATCAGTCTATTCATACTAAAGTTAGAAATTACCGCAACTTAGGGTGGTATGATGAATGGAGACATCAACGGAATTTTGAAGATGTATTCCATCAGTATTAGGACTGTCACCAGGAGAAGAGACTGTCATGTTGAACACCTGAACTGCTTGACAGTTATCGAACTTTAAGTGAAATTGAGGGCTGTTTTGGATGGTGATGCCTGTGACAGTCACATTGTAGCTCCCATAGAATCTCAAAGCCTGTCAATAGAAACAATTATAACATACAAAATTATAGAAACAGGATTACATAGTAAATTGAGGAGAGGGGCTTACTGTGGGTCTAGTCTGAGGCATTTTCCCCGCGTTGTCCTGCGAACATCAAAATATCAAATCATGAATTTGTAATTATATGCTACTTATAAATAGTTATAATACATGAATATATACTTGATAAGTATTGAGTTTCAAATTAGGCCACCAAGCACTTCCTTGTCCTTCGATGGTGCCGTTTCCTTGGATTCTGATACCGCCTTCAAGTTTCTTGAATTCTATCCACTGCAGCAGACCTGAACCCCATGCTTTGGGGCTTGTAGGGGCAATGATTTTGCCATCCAACTGCAGGCAATCAAATAAACATAATTTGTTATTTAGTTTAAATGCATTCATAAAAAATTATACTCTTTTTTTTGTGGGGGCAGTGTTTGAGTGCAAACAACAGATATACGGTTTACCTGTGAATCGATATGGCCCATGAAAACAATATTGATAGTTACATCGTTGGTTTTTCTAATAACACTCTCTCTTCTCTTTTTTTATGTTCTCAAAATAAATATATTCTCTTTTTAAATTCAAGCTATTCAGTTTGTAAATACCCTTGGTACGTTTTCCAAATTTCTAGTTATGGAACATGGTATTTAGCTATGGTTTTCTGTGTCATAAAAACAAAGGTTTCGAAGGTTTCGTTTCTTACAGTAAATATACAAAGATTGCCTGAAAAGGACGTACATTAGAAACTAAACTTAAAACAACAGTGTACATGTGAAGACAACAGTATCCTTTTTTTGGACATTTTTAAGAGTCTAATATGCAGCAAGTGAAAACAATTAATACTGATAATTACAGTATTGATCTTAATAAAATGCTCTTGTTATGTTCAAATACCATGAGCTATTGTGCTGGTAAATAGCCTTAGTTTGTCTCCAACTTTCTAGTTATGTAACATGTTTAGTTATTGTTTTCTCTGTTGTTAAGAGTATGAAATTATAACCCTCAACTCTTGTCATAACTTTGAAGTTTTGGTGTGGTGGCAGTGGTCCTTTGATATGGTATCAAAGCAGCCCAGGTTCAATTTCCCACCAGCATGATTTTAAAGTGGATTTCAGAAAATATTTGATATCAATGCATGAGCTCAGGTTTCGGACCATGAAAAGGACACTCAAACTACACATGAACGCTGGAGTATAATTATAAGCATCAACCCTCACCATAACTTCAGAGTTTTTGTATAGTTCCTTTCAAATTTTGATAATCTCAGATTTGTAAATAAAAATTTTACCTGAAAAACAATTTTAGGTTGACAAGGCCCCATGAAAGAGATTGGACCGATGAGGAACCTGTAGCCAGAAGGAACCACCATTGTTGACACTGCCGCTTTGCAAGTATCAGCCCATGCATCTAAAAATGCCTGCGTTTATACGTATCAGTTAGATATAGCTCTTCAGTAGGAAAGGGAAACATTTTCTTGATAGAAGTGAATATCTTCTTTAGTTTTCGATAAAATATATATAGAGAACTAATTTTGGTCATGCATCCTTATACCAACAACAACAAGAGGAAAAAAAGTAATAAAAAACTTTAGGTAAGAAACTCGGGCATACTGCAACATCTAGATATAGCTGACATTTTCACCTTGGTGTCATCAGAGGCTCCATTGCCCTTAGCTCCATATTCTAGTACATTGAAGATTGACTTATTAGGGCTTGGGTTTGGGCTTGAGTTAGGTTTTGGAGTCGGTTTAGGCTCGGGATGCTGATGAGGGCCTCTCGTTGCATTACATAAATCAAAATTTGTGCTTGTAACAAGAAATGCAATGATAAGGAAAAGCAAAAGGCATTTAGATCTCATCTCGTAAGTTCAAATATGTGTTTTTCGTATAGATAAAGAGAGACTTTTGTTGGTAGAAAATGGAGGGAAGTCTAGGTTTAAATAGGCAAAACCTGACCCCATAAAATTTGTCATACGTTGTCATGTACGTTTGTATTACTTGCAAGAATGTTCTTGTGGGTGACATCATGAACTCATGTAATCAAAATTATCACTAAATAGCTTATTGCGAGTGGGATCCATTCTATGCAATCATACTTGTCATTTCTTCTTCACAAGGGAATCAAACGTTACGGGCCTGTTTTTGTATCTTAATATTTGTTATGTTGTACATACACTGTATGATAAAGCCTACATACTAGAAAATGTTCATTTATTAACATCTTACTTAACAAAGTTCAATTTGATGCATGCTTGAGCTCTTGACAAGTAATCTGATGAACAATAAAATACCTGACATACAAATTGATAAGGGTATTGCTCACATAGAGAATTAATCAAAAGAGACAAGCAAGACTACATCAATAGAACCACGTAGGCTCTTCAAGAAATAACTTGTGATTTTGCTTGGATATGTCTATCTGTTACTCACATGCATGATTCTTACATGTAAGGACAGTTATGCCTGATAATTTTCTTCTTTTTAAAGATAAATCTAGAAACATTTTCTTTATTATTTTTGTTAATGAGACCTCATGTTTCTGAAGAGAGAATACTAGGGTTTAATAGTGGTTAGAAATAATTCCACACAAATTAACCACATAAATCATGCATAAAAATAACTCTTGTTTAGAGATTACCTTTCCCAGATCTTTTAGAATGATCTCCATGCATCTATTCTTTATCTTGGGACAACTGAGGGCGACCACACTGATACTGAGAGAATCCATGCATATCACTTTGCAGCTATCGCATAAAGCATGAACTTGATCGTAAAAGGAGATAATGGCTTTTATGAAGGTTTATGGTCCTTTTTTCTTATTCACCCACCATGAAAACCCTCTATCTATATATAAAGGCTTAGAGAAAAAATCCTACAATTATTAGGATTATAAATATCTTATCTTTAAGATAAGACATTATTCACCCACTTATTTGGGTGTTCATCTCATAAATAACCAACATATTCCCACTCACACAAATGAACATGTGTCATCTGTTGCTCCTTGAGCCGAATCCCTGAGTCATTGACTCCCTGAGTCAAAATTCTTCTTGAGAATCTCCTTTCTTTTCAAATCAATGTCCAAACAGGTAGCCTTGCAGCCAGATCCGTTAAGACCAACACAAGAATCTCCCTAAAAAATATACAAACAAAAGTGTAAGTATACGGTATCTCATACCCTAGATCTGATCAACCTTGTCTTCTCAAGTACCTTCGATCTCTTGAAGAAGCGAACATGAACACTCAGGTCTGTCCTCGATTAATCACACGCTTAAAACCTCGCCCCTCACGTGAATAAGAGGTGCGCATGCGATGCAATCAGGAGGCATGTTAATTAATCTTCCTCTGGCCCTGAGTAGTTGAGCGTGTTAATCACGATCTTACCTAACACTGCCATGTATGAGCGGTATTGTCTCATCGTAGCAGAAAACAACATCCAAAGTAGCGGACCCTCATAATAGCCTTTCTAGATAGGCAGTGTCTCTAAGGATACAACAAATGTCCCCCATCACTAATAGTCATCTATAAGGGCTCTCACAGCGAGGGAGTAGGGATCTATCCTTCGACCTCCTTATATATAGTCCAAGGCTCCAAGCACACGTCGTATCGCAACATGTTATAGTATTACTTCTTTCTCCTGAGAGCATACATCATTAAACGAATATCATACAGACCCAAGTTCTATAACCTTGTAATGAACTTGTATGGACATATTGCCCCGTGATATGCATGGGATCTCCCGACAAGCCTGCACCTCATGCACAAGTTAGCTACTAGTCTAGCTAATAGTGAACACGTAAAGTGGACCTGGGGCTTTCACTTGGTAGCTTCAACATATAATTATACAGCAACCTCATCTTGACCCAGTCAAGACAACTAATAGAGTGCTCTAACTATCGTCCTACCTACTAACATGATAGCATATACATTGCTCCAAACCAAATGACATTTATTACTCGCTCTCGGCTTCGAAACTGCCATAGCTCCAAAGGGGATATCTTATATGATAAGAGATCCTACTTATGGTGCACCTAATGCCCTTTTGTCTACCATGTACACATCATAATACTCGTATACTCCATGTCGTGATAATAAAGCAATAAAAAGACTTAAGCAATTCTAGATATGCATATTGATGAAAAAGACAGTCAAATATAATGTCTTATAAAGTTGTCATCAGTAATAACCTAACTGTCTAAGGTCTTCAAGTAAAAATCATCATTAAAACCGTAGCCCATAAGGCTCAAATGTGCTGCATTAGTTGCTCCTCAGCTATTCCCTTGATCAATAAATTCCTGATCAACTAATTCATAGGGATATACTTAACACAACCTGATCCCTCCCTTAATGCTCTATAAAGTGGTACCAAATTTGGATTTTATTCAATTTTCCAAACTAATTTGGGCATACTGTATAACCAGTGGTCGACATTGTTTGTGGAAAATTTACAGTAAAAGAAATGAAAGAAAATTGACTTGTATTCTCTCAAAATCGATTACAATTTGGATTCCGATTACAAAAGAGAGGAGAATGATCTGGATTCTCCCCTTTGTTTAAATCTGGGTTCTTCACGGTGGTGATGAGATGCCTCCCTCGAATGCTCACGTCGAGTTTGCTTCTCGTTGACGATCCGACGTCTTGTTTCACTGGAACATGATCTTCTCCTCACGATTTGACGTTGTGGAGAACTTGCGTGGCAAGTTTGAAACTCTGGACGAGTTGATAACTAGGGGTGGGCAAAAACCGAAAAAACCGGTTCAACCGAAAAAACCGCCCGAAAAAGCGGACCGGTTAACCGAACCAGATTAAATGGATGAGAAGAAGACTCTAAACCGTCCGAACCGAATTAAACCGGTTTGGATCCGGTTTGAACCCCTGAACCGCCCGAAAAAAAACCGAACCGAATTTTCTAATTCGTTCTTTGTCGGATATTCATATTGCTCAAAATGGGAAGGACTTCGTCGTTCGGAATTCGGTCAAAATGGAAAGGACTTTTGGTTCGGACGAAGTCAGATGGAATAACTTTCTTATTAGTGAGTCATCACTTGAACATTAAGCTCTATAATTGCTCGGTAATTTGATTGTTATGTTTACATACATGTTTATATTATATAGTTCCTTTTTCATTGGGCCTGCTAGCGTATATGCCCGCATTAAAATCGGTGAAACCTCATATAAGCTTTCAAATTCTACTAGAGGCATGTTAAGTTGTTTTCCAAGAAATAAAAGATAACCTTTTGATTATAGTTAATTAATATTTGAATGTTACGTAACCATATGTACTTGTTGATATGGTTTGCGCTCATTTCACTGATTTCGGTTTGTTGTTAGCTGTGGCAATGGTGTTACTTCAAACAAGCTCCACATTTCATTGTTTGGAGGAAAAAGTTGAGTAGACAAAATGGACAAATAATGATACTTCATCAGAAATTAATAGGCAATGATCTCAGGTGTGGGCAGATTTTTGTGAAATAGTATTAATTCGGTCCAAAACCGAAACCGATCCGAACCGATCCGAATTTCGGTTAGGCCGAATATTCGGATGAAGGGGAAAAAATCTGGATCTGGATGAGAGTTTTGAGAATTCAAAAAATTCGGATTGGATGCGGATTGAGCTTAAAACCGATCCGAACCGAATATGCCCAGCCCTATTGATAACTCTGAATGAGTTGGAAACTCTTGAAAAAGAGTTGATTTGAACCGATAATCGGTTCTCAAGCCAAGGATGAAGAAGCTCTTGTTGCAGATCTCCCAAGAAGCCAAGGATGAAGAAGCTCTTGTTGCAGATCTCCCAAGCTCCAGAAATGCTCTAAGGATCCTGTTGATGAGCCAAGAAGTTCCAACCGACCGACTTGAACTGAATGAGTTTGTTGTTATTTATAGGGGATTAAGGGGTGTAACCACCTCCTTAATTCGCTCCTAAGTGGGGCTAATGGGATGTAACCGCCCCTCAAATTACTCCTGAGTGGAGTTGTGATCCCCTCAGATCGTGGGAAACGGTTTTGAAACCGTTCAGCTCGTGTTTGAACGAGTCAAACGCAAAATCCATGTTCTGATGCGAATTCTGCGTTCAAACACAGTGTTTGGAAGCTCAGACGCAGCAATTTGGAAGCTGCGTTGGCATCTTGTTAAAAACTGCGTTGGCATCTTGTTGAAAGCTGCGTTTGACAGCTTGGAAGCTGCGTTTGGTAGCAGGTGAAAGCTGCGTTGATAGCTTTCGGAGACTGCGTTTGTGGCCGAACATGAACTGCGTTTGCAGCTTTTGGAGCTGCGTTTGCGGTCGAACATGAGCTGCGTTGGCGGCCGAATCTGAGCTGTGTTTGCAGCTTTTGGAGCTGCGTTTGCAGCTTTTGGAGCTGCGTTTGCAGCTTTTAGAGTTGCGTTTGAAGCTTTTGGAGCTGCGTTTGCAGCTTTTAGAGTTGCGTTTGAGCCGATTTGGAAGCTGCGTTGTTGCAGCTTTTGGAGCTGCGTTTGCAGCTTTTGGAGCTGCGTTTGCAGCTTTTAGAGTTGCGTTTGAGCAGCGGTTGGAGCTGCGTTGAGCAACGGTTGGAGCTGCGTTGAGCTGCGGTATGAGCTGCGTTGAGCTGCGTTGAGCTGCGTTCGTGGCTATGAACGCGATGCGTCTTGATGCTGGTGTGCGGGGAGGACTTCCACAGTTTGATTTGAAGAGACCGTCGATTTGTAGTCTCTTTCTGTCGAAGCGTTGTAAAGATCGTGGGGATCAGCTATCTATTGTGATTTTTAGACAGCCTACAGAACCCCCTCCAAAGTTTTCGAAAGTTCGCGGTTGACTGGGACGAATTTTCGGAATACTTTGGATCTCAACTCTGATCTTGGAGCTGTTGATTCCTTGTGGTAA